CCAAACAAACCTTTTGTCTCTATAAGTTAATTAATTCAGACATTTCATGACAGTGATTGATAGCTGACTAATGTAGATGTCATGTTGCCTTCTACCAGCAGAGTACAGACTGTCCCAGATCCTGTGGAGCAGGGAGCCACACTAACCAGATGAGCAGAGACCAGGGTCCATCCTGCAAGGCCTAGACCTTGAGGACTAATCCCACTCCGTTGACCAGCTTGTCTAGATAATGAAAAACAAACAACCAATCAAAAGAAGAGTTTACAACCATGGTCCTGAGTTGCAGGAGTCCCGGAAGAGCCATATTCCTCTTGATCTGCAGGGCCAGCAAGTGGGAGTTCTGGACTCTAGGCCATGCTTAGGCCAGCAAGAAGAGGGACAGGCCCCCATCTACTGGACAGTCCAGCTAGTCTCAGTGTCAGGGCCAAGGAGAGCAGGCTTTCTACCTCAAAACTTTCCAGATACTTCAGGGGAACAAAGAAACCACAACCAAGGTAAGGTGAAGGCAGAGGCCCGAGCTGCCCTGTGGTGTGCAGGGACAAAACCCCTGGGGACATGGCTGCTCTTGCAGAGGGGGAGAGAGAGCTTGGAAGCACCACTTACGAATAATATCATGCACCAGGGTGACATCCAAGAGTTTGAGAACGTCGTTGACCAGAGGGCACACCTGAGCCAGGCAGAGAGAGGAGTTAGCAAAGGGGAACCCGTGGGACACCGGGAGCAGCATCGTCTCTAGTGGGGGTTCTCTGGGGAAGGTTTCCGTCACTTCTCTGTGTCTAAGCGTTTGATTCTGAGCAGGTGTGGGGACAAATGTCACAGGCACATTAGGCAGAAGGAGAAACTAAAGGCATGAGGGACGTTGGGAAGGGGCCTGAATGTCACGCTGAGGTGCGTTCACTCTGTGACTTTGCCTCTGTGGAGAAGGTTCTGGAAGGTGGTTTCTGGCCCTAGGAGACACCGAGCCTAGCCTGGAAGACCTCTGGTCTGCAGCCATGGAGGGCTGGTGGGGCTTCTCAGTTAGGGCCGACCCAGTTCAGCTGCGGTGTGGAGAGGCACGGGGCCTGGACCAGGCTGCAGCCCACTGAGGTATTTGGAGGGACGGAAAGAACCATGGACAGATGTAGCAACCGACAGACTGATGGACGGGTGGAATTACTTCTCAAACTGAGGGACTCAGGTAGCTCACCCCAGGACTCTCTCAGCCCGAGAATCTCTGAGGCACAAGGATCAGGGGACCCCCACCCCAGCCCACCTACCTTGCCCTGCACCAGCTCAGGAAGGACTTTATTCAAGATGCCCGTGAGGTTGTCCACGAGGTCTTGA